TAGTCTTCCTTTTCCCTTTGGCCAAAGTTTTTTCAATGTCCACACTCATTTGAGGAGAGATTTCATACTATTCAATACATCCCGTGCTACAAAAGAAAAAAACTCATACCACCCTCTCACCCCAAAAACCAGCAGAAGTATCCAGCCTAGGAAAGCAGTTCTATATTCTGTATGTCCTGATAGCAGAATTCAAATAGTATGGATGAAGAAAAAAGCATGTGGCTCTTTCTAGAGAGTTCTTGAAGTTTGGTAGCAATATAGCAAGACCAAGGCTTTCACTCTTGGTTCCCATATGTATATTGCTGTAGCACAAGTTATTGAAAGGATGTAGAGAAGCACCTGTTAAGGATGTTCCACTCTTTCTAGTATATGATCTCATTTTCAGCTACTTACAGTTCTGTAATACTTTCAGTCTGTGAAAACTTCTCTGCAAGAAGTCTGGGGCAACAGACTAAATATGTTTCTTGAAAACTTAAGCTAGTTCCAAGGAAGAAGGATAAAGGGAAAAAAACCTTAAACCCAAACCCCAACATTTTTCCTGCAAAGAACTCTCTTGACTTTTGAAAACATCAAAATACCAATGTATTGTTCAAAAGTAATTGGAGATTTGATGGGAGCTTGCTGCCTAAACTAGCACATGAAACTTTGAAAGTCTACAGTTTGTATCTCTCTTCTTGTAATTGCTGAGGATGCAACCGGGCAGTGAAACATCCTGTGAGTTTTGCAGAATGTGGGAAAGGCAGGTGGGAGCAGTTGGAACTTTCTTGATCTTTTATTTCCCTTTTTCAAAATGCATAGTTTTGAATTTAACCTTAACTATGAACACCCTTACTTTCTGGAGGAAAGAAAGGATACATTACTCATGAAGAGTTCAAACAACAGGCATTTAAAAAACCCCAAACAAACCAAACCCCGTATCCTTAGGTACGATGAAATAATTTTTAAAAATACCATCAGCTAATTTTTTTTTGAATTAGCTAAGTAAGCTGTTTTTTTTTTTAAATAGCCTGTGATACTAAAATCAGAAGACAGCACACCAGACCTGTGCATTTGTGCAGAACTCATTACATGATGCAATCAGCCAGTGTCAAAGATGAGCAGAGCTATAATCTGCATCTGCCTCCAGTCTCATTACATACTATTCTTCTGTCCATTTGGCAGGTACAAATACTGTTTCCAACCCAGCCTTAAACATTTAAAATCCTCCAACCCCCAAACAAAAAATCACCAACACTTCACATCCCACTTTTAAAAACAGAGGGTAATTAGATCCCTCTCTGAATGAGGCTAAACAGTAATTCCAAGCATGTCTACAGTTCTGCAAAGCAAAACACAAGATCAAGACTGTTAACAGTTACAGAGCATCTTCCATGAGACATGCTAAAAGGGAAAATTACATTGTTTGTTGTAGAATTGAATCTTCAAGAAATATATAAGCTTTTCCATTAAAATTTTAAATTCATGTGAAGAAAATGTTAAAATTTACTATCTTAAAGAACAAATATGTAGTGCTTACCTCCACAGCAAATGATGGCAGCAACAAAAAGGGATATATCACTATCATCCAGTTCCAGTGCATTGAATTTCATTGCAAAATCAAATTTTGGCTCCATTATATCGCAGAATGGCTTTCTCAGGCTTTTCAGGAACTCCCGGGTTATAAAACCATTTCCATAGGCTACCAGCATCCCGTCCTTGTTCATCACAGATGCTAACATGGCAAATATGGCTTCATAAACTCCGTATTTTAACAGTGTCACTTGATCATTCAAGTCAAGATTGGAGAAGCCAGGGATAGATTTGGCAAATTCAGTAAGTTCTGTGACAGTCTCTACAGACGTACACTGGCAGCAGTGGAAGATCCGAACTTCTGCTTCCTTGTTCTGAATTCCATTGGCTACCAATTTTGCCACCAGGGTCTTCTCTGCCATACACAAGGTATCCATGTCATGTATAACAAACGGCTACAGAGAAAAAAAGTACTAATTCAGTTAAAAAATAATGGTTATTAACCATTGGTTTCCTAAAGAATAGGCATTTTTATAACTTCAACTTTCATGCTAATCAGTCTTCAACTATCAATAAACCATGAGTTTTCATAGTTCTGCATAAAGAGAAACCATGTATTACAGAACTACCAACTGCAATATCTAAGAACAAGTCTGGTCTGCAAACAACAATGCACATAGTAAAATGTAAATATGTATGACATAACTTTAGTCTAGTTTTACGTAGTAGTTACAGTGAAGATGCAGAAGTACTGTGCTTAGTATGCATATATCCATCTCTGAGCAAGTCCCAGAAGGTTCACAAAAGACTTGTATTACCTTCTCCAGAAGTCCAGGTTATTCTGCCTACACTCCTATCGATTCCTAAACTAACTACACTTGATGCACATCCTGATGCTTTCCTGAAGTATCCTAGGGGGAATACAGACAGTCATTTAAATATAGGACAGCATATTTGCACAAGAAAATGAACCCTGTACTACTCTTGTGTTTTACTATCAGATTTTCATAGTCTATGTCCAAGCTGATCTTCCACAGATATTCAGCTCATCTTTCTAGCTGCAGTTAGTGCTAAGCCATCTCTAAACCCAGAATCCCACTAGAATGTCAGACAACACAAGATTTCCGTCTTGATCATGGTCTTTTCCATAACCCCCTTGGTTTAAAAAGGTACGTGCATTACAAACTGATGAGCCAGTCTCTTAAAACATCATATAAAAAAAAAAGCATTCGTGCTTTCTTAAGAACATTAAGAACCCAAAAATATTTATATATATATCTGAAGAGCAGTAATTGAAACAGACAATTCACTAAAGAAAACCAACAAAACCTGACGCTTCCCAGCCTACCAAAGTCATGGCAATTGACCTTGAACACAAATCTAGTTCCATAAATGCCGAGCAAAGTACCTTCCCTGTGCAGTTTTGCTCGTCTCGGATTAAATATGATGAGCAAGACTTTGTGTTCTGTTATAAACTCATAGAATTCACTTATTTCTCTTAGAAAACGGTCGAACATGGTAGTTTCCCCACAGTCGTCCACTTTTTAAATGCCTATGGCAACTACACATTCCATCTCATTTCAGGATGTGGTTATACAGCACAGAACTTCCTATGTGCATGTGGATATGAGCAGAAAGTGGCAAAGCAATAAACCACCACATTTCTAAAGCCTCCAATGGTGTAGACTATCCTGTAAGTCTTTTTAGACTTTATCATCATTTCACTATGCAGAAAATAGGTATGGCCAAGACTTAGGAGCTAAATTTAAAAATGATACTTTATCATCAAGAAAAATGCTAGTTCATTCCAAAATGAATTACAGTGGTGCGAAGAATTAGGATTCACTGAAATCAGCTGTTAGTGTGCACTGTTCAGAAACAGACGGATTACTAATTACCAAAACCAACCCCTTCCTTTTTTTAAAAATTATTTTTCTGTTAAAAAGTCAAAATAAAATTAAAATATCTGTTTTCCCAAGAGATGATGAAATAGCTTAAAAAACCTCTCCTCTTCCCTGCATATCAAAGAATGAGGAAGCAGCCCGTTTATAATATACTACTGATTCCTCCTGCAAACCATTATCTTGTCAGGTGACTATAATCTGAGAGCCTTGATTGCACAAATACAAACACAAAAATTAGGATGCAGTGATCTAGAATCCCTGCAGGTATGATACATATGGTAACTTAACGATTCTGACACGTGGTAACAAGCTTGAGAAGGACTTCATGCAGATACCTACTTGGTAAGGTGTTAAAGCATGATATTTACTGTAGGCTTGTATCAGCTTGTACACCCAAAAAAGTTTAAGCCTGTGCTTAATTTTAAGCATCTCTAATCAAATGAAAAAAGACTGAGATTATTCACATCTGCCTTTTAGCTAGACTAGACTATAATATGCCAAATTCCATAATTTAGAAGACAGCTTGCTTCCAATTTTTATAACACTCATCCTCGCAGTTACATGGTTTTTATTATGGCACATGCAAAACCTCTTGCTTGCAAACTTTTACTGAAATTTAAATTGTTAGTAAACTCAGATACTTATCTTCTACATATAATTAACATAAATCACAATCAAATTTAAAACAAAAAATGCATGAAGTGAAACAGGTCAGTCCTTACAATGGTAATACAATCTCGTGTGCTACAAAACAAAAAGCAGTTGATAGCATTAGGTAGACCTTGGCTAGATTACCCTGGAAGAAAAATAACCTCCACAGCACATGTGTCTTCCCAAGCTGGCTTGCATCTCCCTTTCAAAGTAACCATACAGTAAAGACCAAGAAGGCCGGGTGAGGAAATGGCCAGAACTGTAAACGAAGAATTACAAACTCAAGTTTTCTTTCTCCTCCTGCCATTAACATTGTTGTGATTACAACAAAAGTCATGCAGAGCTTCTGTACGCCCTAAAAGACATCAGTATTTATCCTGGCATTTGTGGCAGAAAAACATTGTAATTATTTTTTTTTCCACTGTCATAATAACAAATTAATTTTGAACCATTTCCCCCACCCATACTAACAGGCATTCACATTCAAACGTTACTTTTTTCTTTTGATTAAGAACTAATTTTCTTTCCCTTGTGTGTCTACTATAATTTAAGGCTATGAGCTTTCATTTACAAGTTAATCAGCTGATTTTCCTAAAGCTTCCTATTATTCTGATAGTGGCTAAAAGCAACCATATTTACTACAGGTATTCTTTTTGCATATTTCCTGTCTGTATTAGCATGATACTTATTTTCTAAAAGATTTGCTTAAGAGTTTAACAAATTATTATAATCGCTTTATGCACTTGCCAGCTTTACTTTAAAGTTACAGCAAAAGTACTTACTGGATTGTTATTAGTTTTCCCTGCAAGGATGATTCTGGCTTTAACCTTGTTCATATTGAAGTTTTTCAGGTAAGCATCATGAATTCTTTTGGCAAGTGACTTAAGATCTGCCATTTCTGAATCTTCTACATAATTTTCACCTGTTAGAAGTTCTGCTTTCAACTTGGCCTTCTCAGACCTTGGCATTCGTCCAAAACGTATTGCTGATGGGAAGACATAATTGTAAAACAAATATAAGTTATACAAAAACCTACGCCTTTTACCGTTGCTGATTAGAGCAGTAAGACTTTCTGTCTAGAAAACCTGAGGTAGAGGTAGTATCTTTATCATGATAAATTCATGAGTGAAAAAAATCACATCCTTTCCAACATAGTCAGTGACTAATTATCAAGACAACATGCTGAACTGAAGGTAATCAGATGTTTCAAAACACAAACTGGTATCTACAATGAGCTAGAACGCATGCCTTTTTCCTTCTACATTACTTAAGTAGTTGTATTTTGTTTTCTCCTTTATAGTGTTCTACAACTCCCAACGTGAAACGCAAAGTCTCCCTTGGGAATTCAAAAAATCTGAGTAAACTCATATCAGGGGCTTGGCAAAGAGCACAAACGCCAGCTGAAGAGCTGCCTGGGGACTCACTCTGCAGTGAATGCTGCAACGGAGTTGGGCCTGAATCCCATTGCTGATTCTGAACCTGCTGGGGCATTCAGTTCTTTATGTGCGGAATATTCAGTTCCACACCTCTGTACTGTCTAGTGAGAACAAAACAGACCAGAAACTTGGATCTATGCTCAAAGGCTATAGTCAACAAAACCTCCTCCTAGACCCAGCATTTTCTGCTTCTTTTTTTCAACAGATTAGCCCTTCAAGACTGGAGAGGATGAGAACAGAGTTTGAGTATCCAATCTAGTTATCAGGATATTCTTTTGAGAGGCAGGAGATGTGAGTTTGAAACACCACTGGGTATGGAAGTCTCCCAGTTCTTGGGCAAGTGGTCTTCCCATTTAGCAATAAAATAGGCATGTCCACATCCTTCTTCAGTTTCAGTTTAAAACTAAAACAGCTCCATTTTAAAAGGGGTCTTAGCCTCTGATAACGTGCAAGGTTTTGAGATGGTTAATATAGCTGGTTACTCTTACAGCATTTCAGCATCTAACCAGTGAGAGGACACAACCTCACTGCTTAGACTGAGCAATTCAGAGCATGTGCAGAATTAGCCCTTCAACATGCCCAAGGAATTTTCTCATGACATAAGGAGATGCCCCTAGGCATGATCTGAAATACAGCTTTGGACTTCAATGGAAGTACAACATGGAAGGCCTGTTTGGAATCTGACCATGGGTCTATCAGAATAGTGGAAGGTTAACTGCTTTAAACTGAAACTTACAATTTTAAGGTCATGGCTGTAAATCTAGTTCTAGCTCTTTTTCTAAGAAGTATCACCTCCAAGTTAGCAGTTATCTCCTTCCCCCACTGCCTCCTGTGTGTTTGCTGCCGTAAAACTGCTACTACTCCCTTCAGCTGGAGCACAGGTGCCCATAGCATTTTAGGAGGATGAAACAGCTTCAACTGAATGTTAATTCCTGCCAACTAGCACAGCTCCCTGTTCAACTCCTGCCCCTGAGATGTTACACTGTTGGCTGTCACACTCTTCCCAAGTTTGGTGCTTCAGGAAGCTTATCACCAGTCTTGCAGAGACTTGTAGCCCTCTCCCAATGGACCTTAATCGCAGACAAGGCTCACCATAAGACAGCCAGACTTCCACAGAACCAGAAAGTCAACTCTCCCAATGTCTCTTGCTAGGACTCTAGACTACAACGTCAAAGGCAGCCACCCCAACCACGTCCCCATCGCAGCTATCTTGACAGCATAGTTTCCTTAGGAAGTTCTTCTCCTAACCCACAGATTTTTACCCAGCCCAGCATTTTCACCTACTTTTCACCTACTCCCAAATTGCACCTGCTCCC